TACTGCATTTTACAAAATACTCATTTTTTATCTGTGTGCGACAGCGAATCAAATTGGCGTCGTTGCCGGGGATTCTTGTTTTTATTAACTGATATTATAGTCATAGGTTTAGTGTTCTTGTTATTTTTTTCTTGGTTTTTTTTGTTGTTTTATTGTGTTTGTTGATTTTCAGTATTGCAATTCCGGTTGCAGTACAGTTTTTCAGCCTACCAGGTAAGTTTGAAACCTACTGTTTCGATTTGCTCCGAATTTTTTCAAGAAGTTAAGAAAAAAAATAGACGAACAGTACTCCTTTAGAATAAAATTCTAAAAGACTTCGGCCCTCAAAATCGCAAATTCTTCTTTTTTCTATTTTTAATTAATTTTTTATTGTTTTCATAGTGTCGAAAAAATTCAAAAAAAATCTAAAAATTCTTATTTTACTTCATTAGATTAATTTCTATATTTTTATATTTTTCTGAATTTATTTTCATCATTTTCTCTCTTTCTATTTGTTTCGGCCTATTTGAGACATAATTGATATTTCTGTGTTTGTTAATAACATGGCTGAACAAAGATCTTTGAGGCAGTTGGCTGACCTTGATGTGAACTATAATGGTGTATGTATTGACTATCTTGCAGCTAATGCACCTACTGAATCGAAATCTGATTTAATACACTTGTTGTCAAAGCTTAATAGTCTTACAAGTGAGGATCCAATAAGCATCTGAAGGAATTCCAGGTTGTGTGCTCAGAACCTTCTGAACTTTCAATAGAGGACATTGTCAAACAAATGGCTGCAAATAATCTCCAGTATGAACAACAAATAGATTATACTCTCCAGACTTTGCAAACACATATTGAACAACTTGCCTCTTTGATGAATATCATGCAACAAGCTCAAGGATCTAACCAACAACCCTTGGAAGAGAATTCTGTTTTTCCAATAGAGTTGCTTTCTGAGACTGTTGATGATACTTGCACTGACTTTTTTGCAGCTGATTTTCCATCATTATCTGATTTTGATGATGTTTACTCTTGTAATGTTTGTACTGATATTAAAATTTGCTCTGTTTGTGCTGAAATTGAGGCTGCCTTGCAAGTTGATATTCTTACTACATATGAGGTTGTAAATGAATTTTTTCATGTGGAAGAAGCTCTCGATACTCCGGCTACCCGAAACAAACCATCCATTAAACAACCACCCTCCCAAGAGCTGAAACTAATTCCTGAAAATCTTAATTATGCTTATCTAGAGATGAATGAAAAACTTCAGGTTATAATTTCTTCTAAACTTTATTTTGATCAAGAAAGTAATTTTTTGTAGGTTTTAAAGAAGCATAAGAAAGGAATTGGATGGACATTAGATGATATTCATGATATTAGCTTGTCCATGTGTATGCATAGGATCTCACTTGAAGATGTAGCAAAAGCAGTGAGGCAGCTCAGTAACCTTTTGATCCTTGATGTTGTGAAAGATGAGATCAAGTTTACATGCCCATTTGACACTTTTACTTTTAGAAGAACATTCTTTGATCCAGGAAAAAAAAGTGAAGGTACTGATACAAATTGCAAAGTCAAAGGACACCGCCTCAAGCTATTCCATGAGAGTCCCACGTTAGAAGAGGAAACTATAAAAGAACTCTCGTTGGGAAATGCTACTTATGCAATCATCTATCCGCCTTGACACCTCAGGTGTGTTCTTTCCTCTCTCGCCTCACTCTTATTTTATGTTTGTTTCTTTCATTGAGGACAATGTGTGTTTTAAGTGTGGGTGAGGGAATCATTTATTTGTTTTGTTTTCTTTGATGTTGTTCGTTGTTTTATTATGTTTTCAGTTATTATATAAAAAAAAATTGCATCCTTTTGTAAGTTTTGGGTTAGAGATTAATCTGAGGATAGTTGTGGAGACTTGGGAAAAGTTTACAAGATCAGTATCGTCTTAACACTGTAAGTCTCCTGCATATGGAAATTTATTTGAATTCTTATTATATTTTTAGCCTTGAATTCTCATTCTCTGACAGTCCTTAAGTAGTTTATTTCAGCAGTCAGCACAATCTCACACACACTCTATGCAAGGAAGCCGATGAATATAAGTGAGTGTTCCAGAAAAAAATTGGAAAAAAAAAGAAAAAGGAATGTGCTTCTAATTTTGGTGACTCTCACTCGTTCACTTAACCCAACAGTTGTAGAACCTACAAAAAAAGTTGATAATAAGACTCGTTGTTAGTTGGTTCAGCGGTTTCTGGTGCTGAACTTGGTAGGGAGGATTACGGTCCGATCCCCCGTAACTATAAATGAGTAAGCAAGGGTTATGCCACGTAAGTACCAGAATCCAAAAAGGATCAGAGTCACTAACCGGTCGCTTTGCTATGAGTGTGTGGAAATAACGAGCTTAATGTGATTGCGCCTGAATGAAAAAGAGCAAAAAAGAGGATGAGTAAGTTAGGCTTTGGCATAATAATATAATTCGAATTGGTTTATATATTCAAGAGACAATATTAGTGTTCCTATGATATCCTTAGTGTGCAATATTAGTACCTATTGATGCAATCTTAACCGAAGAAGAGTTTGTAGCCTAGAATGAGTAGTTGATGATGCTGTTGCGTTTCTTTTGATTTTATTTTGCTCGGAGTGCAAAAGTTCAAGTGTGGGGGAATTTGATCAGTGCATTTTGATACACATTCTTCCATGATTATACTTATGAATTTCCATGGTTTGTTTAGCTTATATTTGTATTTTATAGTGTTTTTCTATTTTAGTTTATTTATACTCTTATTTGATTTTCGCACTTTATTTTCAGCATTAGCAGTCTGCATGAATAAATTTATAACTTGAACTACGGGAGTCGGAACGAGGCGTGCTACTAGTCGTTGGAAAGCTAAGAGAAAGAGCTACGATTCTGATTCAAAAGTCAAGAGCTGAATCGGACTGTAGCAGGGCCATAAAATTAGTTGAAGTTGCAACATTTTATATTTAAGTTTTGGGTCATATGTTTTGGGTCTGGGTTATGTTTTTGATCCAGTTGGGTTATGAACTGAATCCTTGTCTTTGCTATACCTAGCAGCCGCTACAATAATTCTGTTCCTACCTTTTCATTATTCAGAAAAAAATACATTTTGCTTTTACGCTTGAATGAAGAACTAATCATCCAGAATTGATCTACTGTAATCGTGTTCCGATGCTTTGAGGTTTTTAACTTATCAATTCAATTTCGTTTCTCTTTCAATTCTATTTTATGAAATTGCATTTGCTTAATCTGTTATTTCATGGAATGTCTTGATTAAATTCGTATGATTATATTCCTAATCTTTAATCGTTGTTTACGTCGCTTAGTCGTTAAATCGCGTTTTATATCGTATTTGCTTAATTCACGATTGTATTAATCCGTTTGCTTAATTCGAAATGGGAATTCAATCTATTTTATATCTATTGTGCTTGTCAATTGGTATTGAAATCGAATAGAGGTCGAAGCCGCTTAGAGAATTGGTAAGGTAAAAACCAATGATTAGCAGGAACCTGAAAACAGTAGATCAACTTATTTTTATAATCACTTATTTTAATCACTTATTTCGTGTTATAAATCGATCCTAAAACCAAGCCCCCATTCTATTTCTATTAGTTAATAATAAAATTAAGAATCCCTGTGATACGACTCGAGCCATTGTCGCTATACTGCATTTTACAAAATACTCGTTTTTGATTCGTGTGCGACAACGAATCAACATGCAACATCTTTGAAGGGTTTCTAGTCGCCTTTTTTCAGTGTTTGTTTACATGAATAAATCTATGGCCGCCTTTGTCTGAATTTGAGGTGGAAATATTGAAGTACCTGAAGGTTGCCCCTTCTCAGCTACAGTCAGACTCTTGGGCTTATATCAAGATATTTCAGTTTTGGGCTGAGTATAAGTCTTGGAAACTTTCCCACCGATTGTTCTTCAATCTATTTTGAGTTGTACATACTTCTCAGAATAATATCTGAGACCAAGGGCTTATTGAACTATGTCAACATATTCCATTATCCAGTCATTTCTCTAAGGCATGTGACAATTTTCTGGGGTGCTTTGTGCTAGTGAGGCCCCGTACTTGGGAGGTTCACCTTTCCTTCTACCATTTCCTTGTTGAATCTTCCCTCTCTTGTAAGGGTAGGTTCCTGAAATACTAGGATTGGCCCCATTTTTGTCCTAAGCCTCATATGTATAACATCCGCCTAGATTCCTTTACTACTGAAGAAGTCATGATGAATCGAGATTTAGAATCCATATACTAGGCACTTGGCTATGTGGAAGGATTTAGCTTCAGCGAAGTGTCATCTTTTTATTAGAGGAAGAAATCTACCGATACTTGTGCCATTGTGATTGCTCTTAGTCGCCCAAAGAGGAACGAGATCTTTGGCCAGGATGACGTCCTTGGGATTTTTTTGACCTGCGTATTTGGCCTTATAGATAAAATGGACTTTTTACAAAAGGTATATGTTATTTCCATTACTCATGGTGCTAACCTTGGTTCCCTAACTCAGACTCCTCATCCTCCTCTTACGACACCTTTCACTTTCTCTACTGTTAAGACTACCTTAACCTCCCACAGAGTTAACAGACTTATTCCTATTATCATTGCTCTGATTATGGAGGATCAACCTTAATCATCTACTACCTAGACAAAGAGAGGCCTAGATCAGAACCAAAGTCCTGTTTTAGAAGAAATATTATCCTAAACGGACTCATTTTTATGAGGGCGTTGCTTCAAGATCTACCACATACTCCTCTTCTCAAATTGGCTACCATATTATCTTCTCGGATTCCCCACACTCTTTTTCTCAAATTGCCTACCATATTATCTTCTCAGATTCCCCACACTCTTTTTCTCAAATTGCCTACCATATTAATTGCCTCAGTTCTTAAAGTGAATTTTGCCAAAAATTGTCTTTATGAAGTTATATGAGCAGTCATTTTTTTGTTAGGGCTAAAGAGTTTTTATCTTGTAAGGTGGGTACCCTCCCCTTTAAGTATTTAAAGCTTACAATGGGTGCAAACACAAGAAATAAATGTACTTTGGATCCTCTAGTTCAACTTGTCTCAAAGAGGTTAGCTTATTGGGGGAACAAATTTGAGAGTCTTTGTGGGATGGTGATTTTACTGAATTTGGTGTTTGACTATATTCTTATGTTTTTTTCGGTCTTTTATAAATATGTTTATTGCGTTCTAGTATGTTGGTTGGTTTACAAAAGAGGTTTCTTGGAGGGGGGGGGGGGGGGGGGGGTAAAGACAATGATAATGTTGTTTGAGTGAAGTGGAAAGACGTGTGTAAGGCCAAAAGGGATGGTGGTTTAGGATTCAAATTATGCTTGTTACCCCTCATTTGTTAAGTAAATAGAGATGAAAGATTCTTCTTAGTGTGTCTTTTTTTGCAGAGAGATATTTTCTCAACAAGGTACAATTCACATAATTTTGGTCCCCCTTTAGAGTGTAGGGTTAGGGACCTTCCGAGAGTGTTTCAGTGGTGGATAAGGGTTTCTTTTATTAGGTCTCCTCTTGATGCTGCAAGTGATTGGTTCACAGTTTCTTGTGTCAAGAGGCTCGAGGACGACCGACTGACCATATTTTGGCATGCTGTTTGGGTCGGTTCTACCCCATTGTATGTTTCTTTTGAGTGTTTATTCCTCTTCATGAGCAAAAGAACCAGGTGGTGAGTTTTTAGGAGGGGTGTTTTGATTTTGAGGTTTTCTCACAGGCGCACTCTTCGGGTTTGGGAAATGGAGATTCTAGAGTCCTTAATTAGTATTCTAGATGGGCTAGTAAGGTTTAATCGGGTGGACGTTTGGGGTTGGACACCTGACCCGGTATATGATTTCTCGATGAAAGCTGCTTATGATTTCCTAGCCTCTCGTGTCATTCTTCCAAATAGTAGGTTTGAGGAGGTGCTTTAAGGGTTGTCTAGGATTTGAAAAAGTTAGGCACCTTCTAAAATGGTAGTTTTTTTCAATAAGTAATTTTTCTATTAAAACCGCTTAAACGATTACAAGAAGTAGACCGTAACGGTTCCTCATAAGAAAAAAAACAGGAGAAACTACCCATTTTAACAACAAAGAGGTATTGTGTGTCAAGTAAGATAGTTACAAGAACAGAAGAAGACTTAACAATTCTATACCATTTCCAAGACACAAAAGGGATGGCCGAGAAACACTCATCGAAGCTGGAAGCTTTTCCTTTGAAAATAATATCATTCCTCATGAGTCAAACATTCCAAACAACCGCGATCCAAATCACACCAATTATTAATCTTTCGTCTGTAGTTGCTCTATAATAGGTTACAAACTAAGCATAATCTTCTTAGACGTCAGATTGTGTTGAGTGGTGGTGATGTGGGGTGTCCCATGTGTAACGAGCAGGTGTAGTCGACTAACCATCATTTTGGTATATGGTGTTTAGTTAGGGGGGGAGGGCCTTTACGAGGTCGGTCTTAGGGGTGTTTCATTTGTTTTTGGGTTTAGGGGAGGGGAAATCGTTGTTTGTAGGTATAGTCTCGATCTGACATTCCATGGTTTAAGTTATTTGGACTATGAGGAATAAAGTTAATTTTAGGCAGGTTCGCTTAACTGTTAATCATTTGATGTCCCCGATTATAAACTTGATGTGAAAGTAGATTGAAGCTCATGCTATGGATTTTGTCGCTTCTTTACTTGATTAGGAGCAGAACCCGCTTAAGTAACATGGTTGTGAGTTATCCTCCTTTTATTTTTTTAGGTGTTTGGATTATCCTTCCTTCAGCTCGCCCCTTTCAGAGGTCTTTAGTACTTATGACCGATGTTTATATCGAATCGACGAATAGTTAAGTTTTTCCTGTAACTGATTATGGTTTGGTGGGTGACTGATTTTTTAGTTTGTTATTTCTTCTTCTTTGTTTTCTAGTTTCTAGGTTATCCTCTTTGTGTTATTTTCTTTTTGGCCTAAGATGTCCTTATATAAGTGATTTTTTTTTTTTAATTTAGTGTTAGATGATCTTTTCATTTCTATTTATTTTCTTATTAATGCTATTAAAAAAAATTCATAAATATAAATAAAATTTTTAATTAATTTTTTTTATAAGCATAAACAAAATTATTAATCAAATATATTATATTATTTTGTTTGTACATATTCATAAAAAATGTTATTTAATTAATTCAAAAGTGTATATTATATTATTATTTTTATTACTTTAACTTATAATGTGTTTAAATAAATTATATTTAGGTTTGTGACAAAGTAATTAGCAAAATGATTATTTATATTAAGCATGCTAAAAAAATATGTCGAAAATCTAAATCGAATTGATCCTTAATTAATTTTTAATGTAGTGATAAAAAAATTATATCAAAGTTTAATTTTTGAATTTTATTCATTTTAAAATAATTTTTCTATATATTTAAATATAAAAAAACTTAATATGTGATTTAAAAGCACAAATTAATAAATTATTTTTAAAAATATTTTTTTAGAACGTGTATATTTAATATTTTAAAACTTTAAATATAATTTTATTATATTTAATTATATTTAAATTTTTTTAATTATAATATCTTTAACGTAACCCATTAAACATTTATTTATAAAAACATAGGCACTCTTTCGATTCCCAATATATTTCCCTTTTCGCCCACCATCATAACCTACCTAAAATGAAACTTTAAAATGGATTAAATAACTTAATCTAACCCAATTAAATATTTTATACTTATAACTTCAACATATAATTCAATTTTTGTACTATTTAAAAAAATTATTAAAATGACTATTTTTTTAATCAAAAGATGTCAGAACTAATTTAAACCCATACTAGTAGCATATAGTTATTTGTTTCTTTTTACCTTATATGTTAAGTTTCTAAATAAGTTGATTTTATAGAGTTACAAAAACAAATGTAATACTAGTATCATGGGAATGAAAAGTATTTAAAAAAAAAAAGAAGGAAAAACTATGATGCTTCCTATACTAGTCCAGCCAAGCAAGCAGCTGAAGCGGTTAGACAAGTGTTTTTTTTATGTATAATGGCAATGGGCATCAGAATCGAGGTTGTGAAAGCCTAGGGCTAGGGAGATGAAAAGAAGAGTAGATTTCATCAAGAACGAGGCAAGAGCAAGAAAAATTAACAATATCTATGATGATCCTTTGATCTTTCTAAATATGCCTTCTCGTCTCATCAATCAATTTATCCATCCCATCTCAATTTTTTTTCTTCAGAGATCTCAAACAATATTTGATTACTAGTTACTACCATTCTCTATGCACGGTTATATTATCATTTAATAGAGTCTTTTAATAATAAATAATTCAATTTAACAAAAATATTTAATTTATTTTCTCTCCAATTTTATTTTAGTGTAAATAATAATAAGAGGGAGTGAATTAATGACACCCACCTCCTCCGGTTGTGTTATTTATTCCCAATCCCCGTCAGTCAGTCACATCTTAAATACACACCTCTGCTGCCCGCCTATATGCCCTTGCCCTTACCACTATCTATCTCAATCTCATCATATCTACACACACCTTCCTCTTTCTCAATTTCCATTTCTTCACGTTGATTTAACAAAGCTTCGCCTACACAGTTTTTTGGCATTCTGTCCACCTCCACCACCTTCCTCTTTTTCTCTTTTTACTTCCAGTCGGAGGTGGACATACTGCCAACAGAACTGTGTTGGTCTCTCTCTGTAAAATCTTCCTGATATATATATTTCAACGTCTCCTTTATTTGTGGATACTTGTAGCTATGGGTATGTTTTTTCTTTCTTTCTTAGTCGTTCCTTGATTTTTTGCATATTTGTTAATACCGTTGTTTTGTTTGTTTTTTCCTCCTATTTTTGTTTTTATACAGAAATCAGGATCCTGTAGTTTTCTTGCAAAAATGATCTCGGTGATGATGAAATCAGATGCTTCAAGTCGATTCGTTCATACATCACATAACTTTCAGATATTTTCTTTGAAAAATATTTGTAAGGTGTTCGGTCTAGGGTTTCTGGTGCTGCTTTTGTTTTCACCTCTATTGAATCATGCTTGAATGCCTCTTGCATTAACTTTTTACCGATTCGTTATCTATGGATATTGGATACAGGAGAAACTTGTATGAATTCAAGAGCTTTTTATTGCTGTGCTTAAAATGCATGGCCACTACACCTGTTTGTATTTTTTTGTCCGATATTGCATAATTTTTCTTAGTAAAAAATATGGTTTAATTGTTCATGATTTGTGTAATCCAGGAGGCACCATAGTACTCCAACAAACAAGTAAGCATTAGTTCAAGAACCTTTATCTGAACACAAATCACAAATCTAAGCTCATGATTGAAAAATCTGACATTTTATTTTTAAATGCTCCAATCTTCCCTTTTGCTGAATATGTTTCCAATAAAGAACTCTTTTCATGGCGCGTGAGTTTATTAATTAACCATTTCTTTGGTAAAGTCATTACTACTACTATGCGTATGGTGTATGTTATGTAGTAGTTTATGTGTATCCACTGTTTTCTTCTGGCTACTTCTTTCATCATCTTCAGACGTTTTCTTTTCTTAGTTTTACTACAAGGATTAATTTTTTCCTTGTTTTGTTTTTAAGTTCATGTCTTGTGTAATCATTATTTCTATCAAGATTTGTTAAGTTGTTTTGGAAGTCAACACGCTAGTAGTAATGTTTTTGTACTCGTGAACTAATATGGATTCATTTTTTATGAATTGATCTATCAAAATTAGGATGATAGGTAGGGTTTTGGATTATTCAAATATATTGAAAAGATTACAGGTTTTGATCCTCTGCATTTTCTTCATGTGTATCAGCTGTGTTAACTTTTAGATCTAGTGAAAGACGCGTTCACTATAAGTTTAATGGAGTCCACATCTGCTATGGAGGTGTTGCTTTTATGCTTTGCTGTGGCGAAAATCCAGATTGGCAAGGATAACTTTTCTAGTAACCCTTCAACATTCAGTGAGATACCATCGTAGTTATTCATAGCATGTAGTATTAACTACGATTAATGCTTTGGTCTAGATCTATTAGATCTTCTCTACACCTTGTAGATTTACAAGTACTATAATTATTTTTAGACATAAAGAAAGAGATGTAAGATCAACTTTGATTAATTGATTAGTATAAGAATAAGAGTGTATATGGATCTCTCATCTTCAGTTAATTTTATTTTAATTGTGCCTAGTGTATCTGTTTATTATAAGAATCAGTTGTGGATATTTTAGAACACCTTGGTGGTTGATTTCTTAAAGCATTTCATATGCATTGGCTTTTTCATGCAATTATTCGATATGGAACACTATTCAATTCTCTTTTGAATGTAAAGGAAACTAAACTATTTGGACTTAATTCAATTTTAAATTTGATTGTTGATGGCAATTTGATATTGAACCTCAAACTTGCAAGGAAATTGTCATAATTTGAATTGCTAAGTATACCAATAAAAGAAAAAAGAATTTTATTTTTCAGTTAATGAGTTGTATAAATAATGATACAAATTTGAATTATTTATAAATTATTTTAATTGGGTTTGAGTTTAAGTAACTTGGATTATAATTAAATATTAAATCTAATTTAATATTTTAACAAATCTAATTTAATATTTTAACAAATCTAATTTAATATTTCAACACAATTTCATAATTCAAGTTGTCAAATTTACTCTAAAAATAGTCAATCTGAATTTTTTCTAATTTCTTTTTTAAATTCAGGAATATGTTGATTTTCAATTCTTTGGTGAAAATGTTTGTCATCTGTGTTTCACTCGAGTAATATCTTAGTTCAAGTTCATCTTGATTTACTTTTTCCTTCAAGAAGTGAAACTTAGCTTCAATATGTTTGCTTCTTCTATACATAATTGAATTGTTTACTAGATTTATGGTTGACTTGTTGTTGATTTGCGACACTAGAAGTTTCTTCAGTTCGACCTCAATTTCTTCAAGTAAATACCTATTCCAAATTGATTGACATGCAACATAAAATCATGCTATATATTCAGCTTCACACAATGAAAATGTCATTACAGGTTGCTTCTTCGAACACCATGAGATTGTGACACCAAATACTTGAAAGAAATATCTAGTTGTGCTTCTTCGATCTTCCTTATCTCCAGACCAATCAACATCTAAAAAGCAATTAACTATTGCTTCTTTGTCTTTAGCATCTCGTCGAAATAGTATTTCACAGTATCGAACCCTTCAAATATCTCAGGATTCTTGGAGCTTTCATATGTGACACTCTTGGTTCACTCATATATCTGCTTACTAAGCTGACATCGAAACCTATATCAGATTGACTGTTGCACACATATCATAGAGACCCTACGATTTGCTTGAACAAAGTTACATCGACTTTTCCTTCCTCTCCATTCTTCTCAAACTTCTCATTTGGTTCGACAGGTGAGGATGCAGGATTCGAATCATCCACTATGAATCTTTTGAGTATCTCTTTGACATACTTTCTTTGATGTAGCACCATACCTTGCTTCGATATTTGAAGTTCCATGCCTAAGAAATAAGACAATTTATCCAGATCCGACATTTCAAATTCCTTCATCATTAGCTCTTTGAACATCGACAAGTTCTCCAAGCTATTTCCAATTACCAGCAAGTCATCAACATACAAGCAGATGATTGTTATATCTTGTGCTACAACCTGAACATAGACTCCATACTCTGACTTGCATTTTACAAATCCCAATTCAACTAAGTATGAGTCGATATTTTTATTCCTTGCTCTAGGTGCCTGCTTGAGGCCATAGAGTGTTTTGTGCAACTTATATACTTTACTCGCTTCCTTCTGAATCACAAACCATGGAGGTTGTGTGACATAGACCTCTTCATCTAAAGGACCATTCAGAAATGTTGATTTCAGATTTAAATAAAATGTCGACCAACCTTGATTGCATGCCAATGCTACCACTAGTCGAACAATCTCCAATCTTGCTACTGGAGCAAATACTTTAGAGAATTCGAGTCCTTCTTGTTGAACAAAATCTCGAGCTACTAATCTTGCTTTATGTCTTATTATCGACCCATTAGCATTGTGTTTCAACTTGAACACCCACTTTACTTCGATAGCTTTTGTCGATGCTGGAAATTTTACTAACTCTCATGTGTTGCTTCTTTCGATTGCATGTAACTCTTCGATCATAGCTAATTTCCACCATTTAGTCTTCAAAGCTTCACTATAGTTAATTGGTTCAACACTTGCAATTAAAGCAAAATGAACTAATTCTCCATCTGGTGTGACTTAATCATCACCTTCCACTTCATAATCATGTGGTCTTATTGGAAGAACTCTATTTCTTTGAGGTCTTTGGCTTGTTTCAGCCACAACCTCTTCAACTTCGACTATTTCTGGAATGTCATCAATTGCTTCTACTTTGACTTCGATTGGATTCTGAGTAATTCCTTCGACTTCAACTTCATCAGTTTCTTCGTCAGCTCATCAATGGCTTGTTAATTGAATTACTAAAATTCCAACCCCAGACAAAATTTTCATCAATTACAATATCTCGACTTAACACAATCTTCTCATTAATTAGATTGAATAGTATGTATGCACCAATCTTGTGATATCCTACCAGAATCATAGGTTCACTCTTGTCATCAAGCTTCCTTCTTCTCGCATCAGGAACATGCATGTGACACATAGAGCCAAACACCTTAAAATGACTCACTGATGGTCGTTTGCCACTCCATACTTCTTCAGGAACCTTGTTCTTCAATATCTTGGTAGGACATCTATTTAGGATATAAACTACAGTCAAAATAACTTCACCCCATAAAGATTTTGGCAAAGTTTTTTGCTTCAGTATGCATCTTGCCATATCCAATATGGTTATGTTTCTTCTTTCTGCAATTCCATTATGTTGAGGTGTATAAGGAGCAGTTACCTCATGATCAACACCATGTTCTGCACATAAATTTTCAAACATCTTCGAAATGTATTCGCCACCTCTATCTATTCTCAAAACTTTGATCCTCTTCTCACTCTGGTTTCCGACAATCATCTTGAATCTCTTAAAGATTTCAAATATTTCATCTTTTTTCTTGATCATATAGATCCACAACTTTCGACTGAACTCGTCGACAGACGAAACAAAGTATCTGCTTCCACCAATGGTATGTTCTTCTAATGGTCCACATATATCTGAATGTACCACTTTGAGAATGCATGATGATCTCATTGACATAGTCGAAACAAAAGAATTTTTGGATTACTTTCCTACTAAACAAACTTCACAAGTTTATCAAGCATTTCAAGACTTGGGATTCCAGATATCATATCTTGAGTAATCAGCTGATTTAGTGATTGAAAATTTAAATGTCCAAACCTCAAATGCCCTAACCAACTATCCTTGTGGTCGACAACAATTTTTAGACATCGAACTTGTTTCAAACTGATCATAATATTAAATGTCCTATTCTTTAACAACATAGATTTTTAGACCAAATTATTCTTGGTGTCAAACAATTTCAAAACTCCATCTTTCATGACAATTGAGAATCCTTTTTCGACTAGTTGTCCAAAACTTAGCAAGTTGCACTTCATTCCAGGTACATAGAACACATCTTTGATCATAACTTTTCCTCCATTACTCATTTGAAAGACTATGTTGCTAGTACGTTCTGCTTGCAACGAACTATTATCAGCAAGTTTTACCTTGCTTTTCTTCGACTCGTCAAAATCTGTCAATCACTCATTTTGATCAGTCATGTGGTTCGAGCAGCCTGAGTCGAGAAACCAGATCTTGGATTCGACATGGTTATCTGCAACTGCAGCCATAACAACCATACCACCTTCAGAATCATCTGAATCTTGGCGTGTAAGGTTCACTCCTTCGTCCTTGCATGTCGATCCCTTGTCTTTTATGTACCAATAATTCTTGGCTATATGACCTCACTTTTCACACTTATAGCATTGCACACCTTTTTATCTTCTTTGTCCTTTAAATAATTTCCTCCTCCTCTTTTCGAGGATTCAGAAGCTCTGTCTTCAATTTGATGCTTGTGAAGGTTCGACCATGACTTCTATCCACGAGTCTTGTCGACATTGCATTTGAACTTGTTAGAACCACCATTTATTTTCCATGACTGAGCTTGTAGTGCCTGTATCAAGTCTTGAACTCCTTTTATTTCGACAATCTTCATCTCACGCGCCTCCAACGAACCAATCAAATCTTCCACTTTTAGGGTTTCATGGAAGCCAAACAAGGATAGCATCTATTTTTTTCCACCGACTTCAATTTTTGTCGTCATGTATTAGAATTGAATTAAGAATGCCCTTATCATTATCCATCTTCGCAGCGATTCATTCACTTGCCCTAGAAACACGATCTCTGACGTGAAATTCTTGAAAACTCGATCAAGAACAATAACCGAAAGCTCTGGATACCAATTTATTAGTGTGTGAGACACTTTTAGTGAGGAGAGAAATAGAAAATAATAAAGGAAATAAAGATTCTATTATTTATTTAATGAATTGTACAAGTAATGATACAATCTAGGACTATTTATATACAACCATAATTGGGCTTGGGTCTAAACAACATGAATTATATTTAAATATTAAATCTAATCAAATATAATCTAATGTTTTAAAAAATATAATTCAATATTTCAACACCAGTTTACTACTCAATTTTCTGTTGGGCTAAATAATATATTCATCTAAATTTTATATTGGATAGTAGGAATAAAATAAAATTTGAGTAAAAATATAAATAGAGATATTTAGTTTGAGTTTTCAACCAATAATAAAATATAGTTTTTTTGGGTGTATTGGGGGTTTTGATAATTGTATGTCTAAAGATGATTTTATATATTTCTGTTTAAAATAGATTGTTGAGAGTTTTTTATTTTTTCGTTCAGAGGGTTTGGAATTTTTCAGTTCAAAAATTGTAGTTGAAAGAGGGATTGCAATATTTCT